CTCTTTCTCTGCAGCTGGAGGTGGAGGAGGCGACGGCAGCCGCCCCGCAGCCTCGTCCACGGCAGCCCCGAAGGCTGCCTTTTTGCAAAAAATGGTTCCGGTTCAAGTGGGTGGGAACGCCGGTGCGTGCGCTCGTGTGTGTGTGTTTGTGTGCCTTTCCAAGCTAACAAGACGAGCAGCACCTTCTTTTCTCTCTCTCTCTCTCTCTCTCTCTCTCTCTGTTCCAAGCTAACAAGACGAACAGCACCTTCTTTTCTCTCTCTCTCTCTGACACGGGAGGGGAAACCCGGCCGGAGGAGAGCCGCGCTCCTCTCTTTGCTGCGCAGAGGAGGAAGGCCAGAGCGAAGGAGGCGGGGAGGAAGCCGGGGGACACCCCCCCAAGACCCCATCCACCCCTTCTTGAAAGGGTTCCCTGGGGAACAGGAGAAGTCAAACCGCAGCGACACCTCCTTCCTTGTGGAGCCTGGAAGGAAACGAAGCTTCGCCGGCCGACCAGCAGCAACGACAGGAAAAGAATTGCTGCCCAGCCGGCAACTAAACTCCTGTGGGCATGGATACTAGCCAATCTGCAGCTGCTTCGGACCTCCACCAGGGTGGCCCCTTAGCCTTGTCCTAGAGAGTCTGTTCACACTGGCATGTAGTTACCATACAGGGTTCCCTAATAGCACTGTTATTGGATGAGATGGTTGGACAGTGTCATCGAAGCAACCAACATGAATTTGACCCAACTCCAGGAGGCAGTGGAAGACAGGAGGGCCTGGCGTGCTCTGGTCCATGGGGTCACAAAGAGTCGGAGACGACTAAACGACTAAACAACAAATAGCACTGTTTGGCACAGAATAAAATATGATAACCGCTTGTGTTACTACTTAAAACAATCCATTCTTTCCCTTTAAGAGCTGGCCCACACCAAACTGGCACGGGGCTAGGGCATGCAATCTTTTTGGGATGATTCATTGTGATCCAAAAGAGCTCTTTGTTCTGAGTATGGATACCAGGAGTTGAAATAGATTGCACTGAAGATTAGGAGTTTTCAAGCCTAGGGACCGGATTGCATCAAATGTCAGTGTTGGACAGCCCTCAGTCTCCTCTGTGATTAAAAAGGTGAACTGCAACACGCACACCTCGCCCATGCCTCCCCAGTCTTTCCTGAGGAGGGCTTCGCGTCTTCTCCCTCTAGGCCATGAGGGAAGCCGGACAGCTGACAGGAGCCACAGAAAGAGGCCGGCCCGCAGTGCCAGGATGAGGGCAGCGGTCTCAGCCTCCAGGTGGGCAACGGTGCTGCTCTCATGCCTGCTGGGCCGCTTGTGTGGCCTAATTCTCTCACCCACCAGTGCCTCCTCCAGTCACAGAGCCCTAGGAGGGAAGCGCTGGAGTGGCCAACGCCGGAAGTAGCTACACCTTGTAGGGCATTTCAACACACACACCCCAACTTCTCAAATACCCTCCCTCCTCGACCATTTGCCTCCCTCTCCTGCAGGTGTCCATTAAAAGAATAAGGATCTGGAAATAAGTTGGAAAAAAATGGGTCTGAGTCAAGGTTCCCACTAAGCTGGGCAGCCGGACGAGCGCATGCATGACTCCGCTTCCCTCCGCACAACGGTCTTCCTCCTCTGCTTTAGGTTCCAGTTGCGACGGAATTCATCATGTGTGGGGGGCAGAGTTGCACACACATGCAGGGGCGAAGCCACAAGAGAGACAGAGGCTGAGCCCCACCCAGCGGGGCTGAAAATTAGAGGGTACATTGGTCCGAGTCAATTTCAAGTAAAAAAACAAACTCAAGTCTGAATCAAGTCACTAGTGTGACTTAAGTCAGACTGTCCGAGTAAAAAAACAAACTCAAGTCTGAATGAAATCACTAGTGTGACTTAAGTCAGACTCGACAGAAAGTCCCAAGTCCCCATCCCTGTTACACACTCAGTCAGGCCTTGGGATCTCACACAGTTGGTCAGAAGATGCTTGACAGTCGCAACAGGCTAAGTAGTCTGAAAGCTTGAGTTCAAACACAAGTGGACGTACATTCAATGACCAAACTAGCCCTACTGTTAGGAAGCGTGAATCCCTCATCTTGGGCAGTGTCACAAACAAGCAGCAAATGGCTGTATTTTTACTGCTGGGGATGGCAGCTGCAAGATGCCCACACAGCTTGGATGGTTTTGGACGCTGTGCACCTTTTGGTAGATGGGTGTGAAAAGGGTATTTTGCAGTTTTTCTCCCTCAGGTAGCAGAAAGTCTTACAATTGCCCTGCTGATCATCCAACCCTACAGGAACATAGGAACTGGCTTTCGAATAAGTTGTGGCAGATAATTGGTCCATCTAGGGCAGTGGTTCCCAACCTTGGGTCCCTAGATGTTGTTGGACTACAACTCCCTAAAATCCTAGCCAACACAGCTAATGGTGAAGGCTTCTGGGAGATTTGATCCAATAACATCTAGGGACCTAAGGTAGGGAACCACTGGGCTCATCCACAATTATCAACGCCACCTGGTTATAGTGGCTATCCCAGGTTTCAAGCAGGATTATATTCTCATATGAGATCCTATATGGTCTAGAACAGTGGTTCTTAACCTTTTTGAAAGAAATGCCCCCTTGAGCCATTGAGGAAGTTATCATCGCCCCCCTCCCTGAGGTGATGATATCTTACCTACCTACCTAGGAACTGGCTTTCGAATAAGTTGTGGCAGATAATTGGTCCATCTAGGGCAGTGGTTCCCAACCTTGGGTCCCTAGATGTTGTTGGACTACAACTCCCTAAAATCCTAGCCAACACAGCTAATGGTGAAGGCTTCTGGGAGATTTGATCCAATAACATCTAGGGACCTAAGGTAGGGAACCACTGGGCTCATCCACAATTATCAACGCCACCTGGTTATAGTGGCTATCCCAGGTTTCAAGCAGGATTATATTCTCATATGAGGTCCTAGATGGTCTAGAATCAAGCATTAACCAGGCTTACGTCTCCCTAGAATACGATAGTGTGTGCAAAGGACAGATATACTAAGACAAACAGACTCTGCCCAAAAATCAGGGTGGGGAGCCTGCTGTGACTATATAGAGCAGCCACATATTCCCATCATTCCTAGCCAATCGTGTCATAGCTGGAAATACTAGTTCCTTCACTTCCAAAAGGCTGCGTATCCCTTCCCACTCCCTTGCTCATGAGAAAGAGACTGCTTCTATCGCTGTACTCATGATACAGTAAACACATTCTGCTGTGACCAGAATCCCTGCTTCCCGGACAGGGAGGCTGCACATGGATGGCTTCTCATCACACATCGCATCGTTTGTTATGGCCACAGAGTTAGGAGTTCGTGAATTACAGGTAGGCTGACAGCTCCTTTCATACCTTGCTTTCAGAGTTTGGCGATGTTGCTTTCTGGACTACAGTTCCCAGTAGCACTGCTTGCTGGGGGATTCTGGGAAATGTAATTCCAAAGGAATTTTTCCAAATCCTGGTGTTGTGTTTTTTTTTTAAAGGACCTGTCTTTTTTTTGTTAATCATGAAATTCTGTCCATATTTGAGAAAGTCAGAATCAAGGAAGATGGGTTGTGGGGAAAGCAAAGGAACTTTATAATGTATGGCCAGCAAAACAAGTAGTTCTTGAGTATTCGCAAGAATAAAGGGGAAAAGGCAAAGACAACATATTGTGGTACTTGAAAGACTGGTAAATTTGTACTCTATTTATACTGGCTACTAGTTATAATTTCCAAGCACAATTCAGATGGCTGCTATTGACCATTAAAGCACAGTGGGGCAACGTACCATCTACAGGCTCAAAGCAGCTGTCAGCAGTGCTCTGGTACCCCACACATTCTCATTTTTAAAGGTTTAATTCAAAGAGTCACTGTGTCCTTTAGAGATGTGGGGCTAATTGTCATGTTTTGAGGGAGACCCTGGTCCCCTAAATCAATTTTTTAAAATTAACTCTCTAGAAAAGAGAGCTTTTTTCTTAAATTATAAAAATTATACCCTCCCCCCTTGCCCTAAAAAATGCTTAGTGGCTGAGAGCAGCAGGCGCCGGTGAAGCCCTCTGAGGTCCAAAATGGCCATACGTGGTGTCTGGATCATCTGTGATCACCCCAGACTTCTTCAAAGCCAGTCCCAAGCTGGTTCTAATGTACCTTGAGGACTCAACATGCACCATCTGATGTCATGTCAGCAGCCACTGCTTGCTACCCCATCTATATTGCAAGTAAAGATGGCATGGATTTAAGGACAGTAGCAGGTGGATCAAGGCCTGTGGCATACATTGCTCTCCCATGCCCCACGTTATTGTCACAGTAGGTCTGAAACAGTATGTCTGGTTCAGGGTCAATTCAGTATAGAGTTGAACCCAGGTCTCATGATTCCTGGCCCGTCTCTGGCAGAAGACTAAAACAGATCCATATCCTAACTAAGATCCTGGAGTCACACAGTTTCTCATTGTGATCAATCATATGGTTGGTTTTACTTCTGAGGCTAGTGGAATTATTTTTGGTTTGATTTAGTTTTTAACAGCAGATTTTTAACTTTGTATGCCTTGTTCCCAAATGTAGTACAGTAGAAAGGGTTATGGACTCAGGAGATCCGAGTTTGAATCCCCACTTGGCCATGGAAAGGAGGGAGTGGAACTAGTAAAACAGCTCCTTAAATAGCTTACTTACTGTGAATGCCAGTATTATGTTCTCTAAAAGTCAGTTCTGATTTGAGGGCACATAACAAGGGACGTGGTGGCGCTGTGGGCTAAACCGCAGAAGCCTGTGCTGCAGGATCAGAAGACCAGCAGTCGTAAGAGTGAATCCACGCAATCGAGTGAGCTCCCATCACTTTGTCCCAGCTCCTCGCCATCCTAGCAGTTCGAAAGCATGCAAATGAGAGTAGATAAATAGGTACCTCCTCGGTGGGAAGGTAAAACGGCGTTCCCTAGTCACGCTGGCCATGTGGCAACGGAAACTGTCTTCGGACAAGCGCTGGCTCTACGGCTTGAAA